GGTGTAAGCTGCACACGACAGAGAAAATCCAGATAAAACAGTGGTTAAACATGCTTCAAATATCCTCAGCGATGAGCACGTGAAGATCCCTTTCCTAGTCTGAATAAACTTGAAGACCCCTTTCACATATTTTACAGAAGGAGTTTAACTTTCCAGATCGCACACTGAAGCTGCTGATGTGCAAATGCAAAGGTAAATCTATCTCTTTAAACAATTTGACCACATTTACATGTTGGCCCAGGTCTGCACTGGAGGTTTGTTACTGTTTATTGGAAGAGATAGTTGTATTCGTTCAGGACGAACTCCACTATCTGGTTCTGGAAGACCATGTGCATCGCGATATTCCCCGACTCCATCTCCGGCCGAAGCAGCGTTGGGCCGAACACAATTGCCACATTCTGTACAGTCATACGATTATCCTGCCCATATTCAATAACCCTGTGAAAGAAATTCAATAATTATGACAAATCCTCTCAATTTCAATATGAATGTAAGCACAGTAAGCAAAATAAATAAATAAATAAATAAAAGATAAAATGCAAAGGACAGAAAAGTAAAGTGTCACAAACCTGTGTAAATGCCCGAATAGAAGCTTCATGGTGTTGTGGTTTGGAGCAGGAAGTGACTGGATCAAGTCATACATGTGATCCCGTTTTGTGTTGAAATCACCAATTCCTAGAAATACATAACAATTGTTAATGATCAATGGCAACACTCACTGCAATTTCACCTGTAAAAATTGATGATACAGCGCTTAGAATTAGGCTTATTGTTAATTAAAGAATGCTCACTGATGGCTGAGATGAACTTATTAAAGTGGCTGTATGGGAAAAGCGGCTCAGAAAGCTCCCGGAAAAATAACTTCAGCGCTCCAGTGATGACGTGAACATCTTCCCACTGACCGTCCTCGAGGTCCAGTTCATCTGTTTAAACACAACACATGCACTTGCAATTAAAACCCAGCAGGTGTCACTGCTGTCTAAAATGAGCCTATGAGATCAACACCACAGTATGTTCCTTGCCCATGAGGTGACTGACTGAATTAATTAGTTTAACACATTGATTGATTTTACCGTGATCGGCCTTGAAGCGCAGTTTCTGAATGACAGCGAGGTTCCCACTGACTCTGTAGAGTCCATCAATATCCAGACCTAGAAATCAGCAAGTAAGCACCAGCGGGTCAGCTGCTTGATCACGCACACAGGAAGATATACTTTGTAATTATTCCACTGTGATATAAATAAGGTGTTACCTCGCCTTTCCACTGCATTAATACATTTCTCTACAAAACTCGGTACTGTAGTCTTTTCATGTGCGCACAATGTCGCAAGGTCACAACCAAAGACATTTTCTGCAGAGAATTAGAAGAGTTTGATTACACACAATATCAGAAATGAATATTAAATATACTCATAACTCTTGAAGACATCTAGTTGGACGAAAGCATGGCTATATTACACACTTCCTTAGAATTTCATTGTGTTTGTTTTGCCATTTTGCTGTCCATGCACTAGAAATAAGCTCTAAACAGAAGTGAACTGAACTGAAAAGCAGGTAGGAAAATTCAAAGCAGCTCGTATTTAAATGCTGATATAAGCACAACATCAGTGCTCAGTGTTTGGGAGGCACAAAGACTGATTTTTCCCTCCTATTCAAATCAGCCAAAGCCTGCAAATGACAACAAAGCTCTACATTTCCTCGTCTGAAATCACCTCTGATGTAGCCTTTTTCTTTGACCGTCTGCAACGTGGGACGCTTCATGAGGAACTTCATCAGTTTGGTTCGGACCTTCTTCTGCTCTGTTTCTGCTGCAGTGGTGGTTGCAGCTGTACTTGTAACACTTCCCCTTGCTAAAGATAGCAACAATAGACATTTAAAAAGGATGGGAGGGTAGCTCACAAATGTCTTATCTATCTAACTGAAGCACAATCATTATGCTGCTCATGCCACAGTTAAAATCAGAGATAATTTGCTTTTTTTTTTTGCTGAAGTAGAAGAAGCTGTACTTACATTTTCTCTTGTCTACGGCACCTCCCACCTTCTCATCTGTGTTGGGGATCTTTTCATAAATGTCTGCATCCTCCTCCTCAGAATGATGTTCCTGGTACTCCTGGTAAACACAGACAATCAAAACAAATGAATCTTGATGTAGAGTTTTTCTAATTTTACTTTTTTTTTAAAGAAATGTTCCATCTAGTGACCACGTAGCTAAAAACAGAAATCTATTAGCTTCTTAACTAGGAAAAAATGTGAGACAATTGTGTGTTTTCTAATGCTGTGGTTTTCTACACATTAAATGAACTTGATATTAGTTTTAATTGATTTTTGTTTTTAGCCAGAGTTACGCTAGTAGTCTAGAACCAAAGAGCCAAAGAACATCCAGCTCCCGGTCTCTGGACATCCAGCTTTGTAGGGGTCGCTTGCAAGATTGTCCAGAATGAATGGCACCCCTTTGGAGGTATAGCCCAAAATACAGTCCCATAAAGTTATGTATGCTTTCCCAGTGTACTCATCTGTGCTAATCCAAAAGCATGAAGCTCAGATGTTGAATATCCAAATATAGCACTTACACAAAACTTCATTGGCAAATAAGCTAATGTTTAAGGCTTCATCTGAGCTGAAACATGAGTACATTTGTTGACACGGCAAAAGCTTTTTCTTAAACTTTGAGCAAGTTCTACCTGTTTACCTTTGGGTATTTAACACTAATTATTAGGGACTTCAGGCGTGAAGCAGCAGCAGCAGAGATCTGCCTCCTGTCATCATCACCATCAACCACAACAACCAGAAGTTTCTGTTGTGATCTTCTAATGTCTAGTTACCGTTGGGTGCCATTAAGCTTTTGTGGTCAAAATCTGGCTCCCTGTAAGTGTTGATTTCTGCCATTTATTGATACAAAATTTAAGAAACTTGATGAAATATGCGGGTTTGTTTTGTGTAGGAGCTGAATTGGAGTGAATATCTACACAATGTTATTAACAGGAAACGGAACAGATCAACTTCTATAAACAGACGCAAATTTAATATTTTCATATAAGAAAAAAATAGAAGACAAATAAGCTATTAAACCATTTTAATGCAGCCTAATTTTGATTATTCTGTAAAAGCAGTTTAAAGACTTACAAGTTGCCTTATGGTGTCCACTAAGACTTTATGCCAGTCAGTGATGATGCTTTCGGTGTCATATTGCAACAGAAACTCCACACCATTCTTTCCTTTTAACTGAAATGCAGAAAAATCACAGATTAAAAGAATTTATATATATATATATACATTTTTATTTTTGCAAGCACAAACCCAAACATATGATGTAACTCATAAATCGCTGCTAGATTAATTATAGAAGAGCTCCTGTTACTGACTGAACTCGCAACACTTTTTTCAAAGAGGAAGTGAGTGAGATCTTATTTTAGCTGTGCATTTATGGAACCAGCTCTACTAAAGCACGAACACACCCACATATACAAAAAAACATTAAATCGCACACATAGAGAGACGTCCCGCCCATATTGAAAATGAAAACAATTCACTGCTCTCTTGAACAATAAGAGCTGTAAGGCCTTGAAGAACTGAAAGACTAATGAATCTACAGCTCCTTTCTTCAGGAGGAAGAATGAAGCAACTTGTGTGGCAAATAAAAGCTACATGTAACATCATTATGTTCGCAAGTTAGAAAACTACACAACCCAGCTAATACATACAATATATGGACAAAAGTACTGGGCACCTACACATTACACCTACAGGAGTCGCTCGGCTGTGGAAACCCATGACATGACACTCCTGGTGCAGTTTTCGTGCTGATTTTAGTGCCCGAGGAGGTGTGGAACTGTTTATTGACTGAGTCAGCAGAGTGCTGGCGATTTTGATGCATTGTATGCCTCAGCACCTCTGCCCTGTTACTTTACATGATCTGCCACTCCATGGCTGAGTTGCTGTGGTTCCCAAGTGCTTTACAGTTGATCGTGGAATTTCACAAACTGACTTGTTGCAGTGATGGCCTCCTACTACAGTACCATGCAGGAAATCTGTGAGCTCTTTAGAGTGAAGCACTCCTAGGCTCGCTGTTTGATTATACAACATTATACAACTCTGGCAAAGCCGCTGAAAACACCTGAATTCAAGGATTAACCCTTTAAACCCTAACCTAATTTACCCTTTACAGCAGGGGTGTCCAACTCCAGGGCTCAAGGGGTGGTGTCCTGCAGGTTTTAGATGTATCCTTGATCCAACACAGCTGATTTCAATGGCTAAATGACCTCCTCAGCATGTCTGGAAGTTCTCCAGAGGCCTGGTAATGAACTAATCATTTGATGCAGGTGTGTTGACCCTGGGTGATATCTAAAATCTGCAGGACACCGGCCCTTGAGGCCTGGCTTTGGACACCCCTGCTTTAAACCCTAACCCCTCGCCGGTGACGGGTTAGGGTTTAAAGCAGGAGTTTTTATTGGAGTGTGGCCCAATACTTTTTTTCCCCCCATACATTGTAGCTAATATTACTTCTATAACTGCTAGCTGCTAAAATGATCTTTTAAGGAAGTGAATTTTCATATATTTAGCGAGCTTTTAATGCATTTTCATAGTGTTTTGGATCTCAGTTCTATAGTTCGAGGTCAATTGTCTTCCCCTCCAGTGGGCATGATTTTCAGTGTGAAATGTGGGGCACTGAGTGCTCTCCTCTTTTCTCTGTTTTTCAGTTCTCTGACATCCTGCCAGTGACATCAACCTCTGTATGCTATTGATGGTTATTTTGTTTCATAGACAAGAAAGAAGGCTTCCCGTGGGACCTATAATCGAGGATGCACAACTTTAGCAAGTGTTTGTTTTTGTCTTTGATGCTGAACACACTTGGAATAGAGGACGAGTCTATGCATAAGCAGATGTTTATATTCTTTTTTTTAGTATTTCAAATGAACAACAGGGATCAGAGTTTTTTCCCTTCACAGTTTGCAACTGTAATAAAAGATGCACATCTTGTGACCGCGTGTGTTCTGAATTAAATTAAAATTAGACCTAAATATAAAGCTTGTCTGTTATACTGTTATACTTCTACGGCATCTGAGACCAAAAACTAGCACAGCAGGCTATAACAAAAAAAGTAGAAGAAGAAATCATGCAGTTTTATGTCTTTGAAATGAGGCTCTGATGCTAGGATATCTCTTTTTGTTAAATATCTGCATCTCTGGTGAGAGAGAAGAAAGGAATCAAGGATGTACAAGCTTAGAAATGAGCACTGTCAACAAACACACCTCTAAAACATTCTTTTTGCTCGATTTGTCCTTTGTGGCCCAGCCAATTGTTGCTCCGCGCAGATCCACCGCAACCTCCGGGACAATGTGATTGGTTTTGTTCTGCAAGGAGAAAAACAAAATCCAGGTGTTTACAAAACCGACGGCACGGCATTCCAAGAATCAAGATGCCTTTAATAAAAGATGTGGCTGTCCTTGGCAGCTCCTATTATTATGCTCATATCATTAATATGAGCGCTTCCGTTGTTAATACAAAGCGTATACTATACCGCGGCCCCTGATGATGCAGATTTTGGGTCCTTGTGGAACGTCAGCACCCCTCCATGGAGAACAGTCCACGTTGGGGCCCAGTTTTTCCTGGAATGGGAGAAGATTCATAAGTAACACAGTAACTCGAGAAATGTGAGTAAGATACTTGCAAAATACACCTCAAAGCAACCTCTTACCTTACTTTCCTTCCATTCTCAGACACTTTTGTTTTATTAAGAATTCCAGCTTTCTCCAAGTTCTGCACCTAAAAATACAAACAATAAACATCTTTGAATTGTTAGCAGATCATGTTTAGTTATCAGGCTTATGAGTAAAATTTACTTGTGGGATGAAATGAAGGGCAGCAGGTTGAACGCAAACGTCTTCAGCAGCATCATGCATACAGAGTATATTAAACAGCACTGCCTTCTCTATTACAATACACTGCATAAAGAATTGTTATAATTATTAATTTATTTTATGTTTCACATCCAAGGGTGCTGATTTTACTTCGCAGCAGTTTGCTTCTTTTCTTTTTTCAGCCATTCTGTTGTAGATTTGCTGTTGTGCATGGGATTTCTGTCCTGTAGCATGACCCAGCTTTACCTGTCAGACAGATCTGTCCTCAGATTGGGCTCTAGAATTTTTTGCTATGCAGAGGTCAACTCAATGACTGCAAGGTGCTCAGATCCTGTGGCCGCTAAACAAAACCAGATCATCACCCCTCCACCACCAGGGTTAACAACTTGTAGGAGGTGTTTGTGTCGATACGCCATGTTTGTTTTTCACCGAATATGGTGTTGTGGATTATGGACAGACACCTCCACTCTGGTCTTGTCTGTCAAAGGTACAGTACAGTACAAGAGTCTGGTGGTTTGTTCAGATGCAGCTTTGTAAACCTAACAAAATGGACTTGTCCAGTCTAACTGTACTGTCATTGGAAAATAGTGCAGCAACTCAACACCTGAAGACTAGCTAACTGTCAAAGTTTCTGTTTTTATAGAGATGGTTACACTCACTGATGATCAGTTAATCCAGTTTACTTGATTAACAGCACCTGACTGTTATTTAGACTCTTATTTCTTCTTACGGCATCCTTGGCATACATTTTTGCAAAAATTTGGAAAGCTTCAAATACACTAACATGGCATGCACAATGTGCTAAAACTATGCTGTTAGTCCTGTTATGTGTTGTTTAAGGCTTTAAGGCGACAGCACAGCAGCTTTTCTCTAGAACAGGGGTCTTGAACAGACAGTGCCAAATGCAGCTCTTCTGCCCATCACCAGTGACTCCCTGTGGCTTTGACAAAACCCCGCCCCCAAAAAACAGATGAATATGAAATTGATCAACGTCTCAGTAACAAAGCTGTTTTCAGCTGCTCCCTCAAAATTGGTCACCACAGCAGGTAGCTCTGCATTCCTAAAACAAACCCCAAGGGATCTGTGTCCCCTCCCCAGACTGAAACAGGAAATTTACACTTGTTAGGCAACTGTGTGAACCACAACACTAAAGAGACGCTAACACCACAAGACTTCTAAAACAGTGAGCCACTATATAGTATATAAGTAAATGTCAACCCAGTGTGTGCAAAGTTGATTTCCGGGGGACTACTTTTAGAGGATACGCATTGATCAAACAGTGGCAGGGTTGTGTAAATTTTCAACATTCTTATAAAATTAAGTACAGCTGCCAGAATGAGAGCTCAACAGATAAAAATTCTAGGAAGAATCAATTTTGGTTTAAAGTAAGAAAAAAGAAGAACTTCGCATAACTTGTCCTTTGATCTACAAGAGTGACTTTCAGGCCGGATCTATCATAGTTTCAAGACAACAGATCTGTCTTCAGCCAGATGCACATTTAGGCAAAAACATACAGCAAAGGGTTTGCAGGTTTCCAGCAAGGGTGAGCAATGGGGTGATTTCAATACAGTACAGTATTTAATGCATGGAATGAAACTGGTTGAGTGCAACAAATGCTCGGCTAATTATCTAAAATATGACACCTTTTGCCCATCATAGATAGATGCACCTATCTATAGATCAAGGGCAGGCAAGCTCTCTAACTAACCACCCACATTATAGCGCAGCCACTTTGAGGTCAGATAATAAGGATTTCTCCAGGGCCAAAACCCAAAAGCCTTAAGAGAGAGACACAGAACTCCTTTCAGTTAAAGGTGAAGATCAGAGTAATTTTGTTGCTACTGAGAATTCATCAAAAGCAGTCAGTCAGTACAATCCTTGGCAGGACATAAGCTCCGCTCACATTTTGCTGCGTCTCAGGAGAGTTTCCTGTACTGGAGCTGTCACTGGAGCTGTAGTCTGACGTGTTCCTCCTGTGAGTCGGGGCGAATCTCTGAAAGACAGTGAGGAGATTTGTCATTCAAAAAACCCACAAAGCTTACCCAAGCATGTAAATTTAAATTTTGAATAAGCAGAAATCAAAATCAGCAGATAAGATTTACATTTCTTTAAATGATTAACATCTTATATCATCAGGAGGAGCTAAAGTAACTCTTACATGATGAAATATGTGCTTATTTGTTGCACTATAGCTGCAAATGTAGCATGTACTGGAAAAAACAACAATGTGTTGATAACACTTTGAAGATAGCGTTGCTACACTACACTACCAAGTGAGACTTGTTTAGAAGTGTAGCAAAGGGTGAATGATTAAACACCAGTATCTCATTTCACCAAAATAGGATATCTAGGAAAACTCATCCCTCGCCATCTGAAATTGGTTGAAAAGTGAAAGGACTCAGTTCCTCCTCAGTTCCTCTGCAAACCCCCCTGACAACCAGCAGTTTCATACTCAGACTCTTCTTTCTATGGAAATACGAAATACTACACCACCGTGACACAATGGTTACCGTGTGTGAGGAAAAATACATTTTGACTGACTCTGAATCTCAAAAAATCCATGATTCACATGTAGGTATATATTAATGGCTTAAATGTGCATGTAGGTTGTATAGAAGATGCATTTTGCCCTGTCATTTTCTATGATGTGGCTTACAAGATTTAGATATCTGAGGCTGTGGGGGGGCATCCTGTATGTGTAAATCGGTGTTATCTATTTATCTCCATGCTTCACATGCATAGGTGCACTGCAGCCCTGAAAGTTTTTAGACTTTATTTGCCACTAGGACTCAAATGCTCTAGATTAAAACAGTCTTTAACCTGTTAATCCCTGACTATGCAGGTCATGTACTGAAGAGTGAGCGTCTTGTGCACTGCCCCTTGCAAGCTCTACCCAGGCTATCTGGCATTGTGTGCTACGTGTGAAAACAACTTTGGGCAACGTCCTGACTTGATTCTCCAAACACCACCTTAATACTTAGTTTTTAGTTTGACTGTAACATCTGTCTAGGGATTGCAGATATGAAATGTAGTTTCTTGGCTTCTTAAATCTGTCACATTTTCTCAGTGTTCAATACTGAGCACTATCCTTGTTAATATGGCATTAAATGGTTAGAAGAACAACAATCACCTAACAATATGCACTTGGTTTTAATTTTTTTAAATACACAATTGTATTACCTAACTTATTATTATAATTCTGGTCTTTTTATGTTTCAGGTGTGCGACAAAAAAGAAAAAATAAACTGCTGCTTACAGTCTTTGTCATCATTCAGCTTTTTCACACTAATAAAAAAATGAAACTTTATATCAAAAAGATGACAGTTGATCCAAAGCCTGTTTTTCTTGGTTTGAGTAAACTCTTTGGTTCCAGTGAAGAGAAATCCAGGCAATCGTGTTGTGCCCTTGAGCAACACGGTTGCTTTGAACCCCTGACTGCTAGAGGTGACTTGTTTAGCACAAGCCCTTTATTGTATACCAGAAGTCGCAGGTGTTTGTGGAAATATCGCTTTTTGCTCTCCCTCATCCTCCCTCTCTCTGTTTCTGTAAATAAGCGTGGTGTGGAGCTAATTTGCCTTGCTAAATAAGGGTTAAAAAGCATAGTAGTGTTGATTGTTAAACAGGTACTTACCCTCACCACTTTTGCCTGACTAAAGCTTTCTGTTTAACCCAGGCGACACACCCTGAATACGTGATACAGCTTGTGCTTAAACAAGCATGTGCTATTAGTGGGTGTATATGCATGTGCATGTTCGTACCCCATCTTCCTGGGCAGAGCTGAACTGAGCAGGTCCCACGGTGTGTCTCCAGTTTTTGATGACAGACATACCATCCGCCTCAACGCCATTCTCCACCCTCAACTGGCCATAAGCTACAGGGGCCTAGAGGGACAAAACACAGTTTAGTTTCATTGATTAAATGCAAGAAAATGAGTGAAAGGACACAACTTTAAGGATCAGTGTTGCTTTAATTTAGACAAGTGAAAGTCTGATGCTACTTATCTGCCAAAGGATATGAAATATGGTGTTTTAGTTAAAAAAAACCCAACTTTAATTATAGAATTCATATTCAAAATTTAATCCTTATTTCAGAGCCTGAGTATGAGACGGCTCAAACCCTCAGGTAATCTGGAACAACTACCTGTCTCGTTACACTCTGTGTCTCCCTAAAACTTTTACACTCCAAGCTAATTGAATGAGCTCCCAGTTTATAACACTAGCTGTGCTCCAGCATTACCAGTATTCAAAAATAAGCTAAAATCATCCCTGTTTAGTTAAACCTTTTAGCAGCATAAAATGATCACTTTATTAAATGTATGCTACATTTATAGATTTGATTTCTAGGACCGTATCATTTTTACTGGTCTCCTGATCATCTTAATATTATTTCAGTTTTAATTCTGCTTCTTAACATTGATTTGAGTAATTGATCTTCTCTTCTTGCCTACTGTCTTAGTGTTGCATGCAACTGCAACTTTTGCGGTAGCTTATGCATTGTGCAGAGAATTGTGCTTCTACTCTGTAAGAAGTTTTCTATGAATATACATATAAAGTTACGCTTGTTTCCTGTTTATTCAAATCTACTATGCAGTAAGTAGACGGGTACAGGAGTGGCAGTGGCTGTGGTTTAGGAAGTAGAGTAGGTCATCTACTAATCGGAATACTGAAACCCGAGTTGCTCATCGAAGTGCGACTGTTTGATAGAAACACCTGGAATAAGAAAAAGTTGCTGTGTGAATGTGTGTGTGAGGGGTGAACGAGACATGTTGTATAAAGCACTTTGAGTGCAGTGCAATAGAAAAGTGCTGTATTCAAACTAGTCCATTTAGCATTACGTAGAAATTGATTTTCATAATTTATATTCAAACTGTAAAAACATGTCTTAGAATCAGTGATAATCTTGCATGAAAAACGCTGTCGACTACTTTGTTAAGTGGTGTGAGATCTTTACCTCGGGCAGGTTCCACAGAGACCTGGAGCCATCTCTTAGATAGTAGTAGGTCTGCCCCTGCTCATCCAAAGACTTGATCCACTGTTACACACAATGCACTTGTTTTAGTTAAACATGTCTCGGTGTTACAGAAAAAGTTAATTACTGTAAATAGTTTTAAAAAAATGTCTTGCTCAGGTAGTTTCACTTCCTTAGGGCTAAAACAACGCTCACACATGATCTGCTGCATGCTGCTGGAGAAAATGTTACTGAAAATGGTATCCGCGCTAATCTCAGTGCAGATGAGGACTTTGTCGCATATTTGGATGTAATGTAATTACAAACTAAGACGCTTGCAAATGCACATCACATGACCAGTCATGCATGGGCTGGGCGCGCATGGTGCAGCATAAACAGGAAGCAGAGAACTGGTTTCTTCTTGAAAATACTACAGAGGAAGAATGGCAATAGACAAACAGTACAACCAGAGTTTTTTCCACTTTGGCTGCCAATGAGGTGAAACTGTTACTGAAAGAACTAAGTGGTAATTTGAGGACAGAATGTAGTTTTACAAAGCAAACCAGGACTGTAACTGTGATTTATTACTAGAGGAAATCTAGGTAACAGGAGAGGAGAACTCAAACAGCCCAGATATGATGTTTATCTTATTTGTTTTTTATGACTAACAAGACCCGAGCACCACCCGAGCACCACTTCAAAAACTTTCTGTTTGAGTCCACGAAGAATAAAACACTGCTCCATATTTGAACTAACACTAGGGTTTCCATAAGACTTTGTTTTAAAGGTCTTAAAAGTGGCGTGGATGCTTGGCATTAACGCACTAAAATGACACGTTTTTTGGCAAAAACATATTATAGTGAATGGAGCCTGAAATCCTGTCCAGGGGTCAAACTGGGTGGACTGCATGTGACGATTTTGTAACTTTCCAAAACAGATTCATGGTCTGTTCACACAGTAACCGGACAGAAGTGTGTGATGGGGAAAATATGCAGTGTTTGTCATTTTCTCTCAACTCTATTCTTAGCCACACTAGCTACACGCCTCCCTGGATAATTGCACAACTGGAATGACGTCAAAACAATCACAGATAACATTGATATACTGGGTTTCCAAACAATCATCATGGTAACTATGCTGGAACGTGTTTGAAGCCGTTTCATCACATTTTCAAACGTTTTGCAGGATAATTAACCTGAATTCTGATTGGGCAGACCTGATCTGGAGAGTTTTCACTGGTGAACACCCACGTCCCATCTTTCTCCACAGTGAGGTTCCAACCAGCCGGGGTCTTGCGGTCCAGGTTGGCCCTGGGGATTACGGGCCGGGTCACATGACTGAAGCTGTAGTCTTTTGGGATCGGGGCTGGAGGTCCTGTGGCATGGTCCTCATAGCCCTCTGGTGGATCTGCAGGCGGGTAATCCTCCGAGGGGTAGTCCTCCTCCGGTAAAGGAGGCTGGGGATGAAGACACAGTACGTTAAGTTACACATAAGTCCCACTCAGGGTTCAACACATGAGCTGTGACCCAAATGGGAGCATTTTCCAAAAAGATACACTTTTTGTTTTATTTTACGAGGAAAATACTAAACCAAAACTAGGAACTGGTTTGATTTGGCAAAGCAATGCATAAGCACTTAAAATATGGAAACGAGTCAATGTGGTTCTACGTGAAAGTCTCAAAATCCATCTTCTGACAGTTTTTAAGGCTTCAAATGAAGCAATTTCTTTTCTTTTGCAAAAGTAAGAAAGACAAATGAAAGGCCTGAATGGAAATAGTTCCCCCTTTGCAAACTTTATTGTAAGCATAACATTAAAAAACCAAAAGATAAGTGAGAATTTATGTCAAGGATAAAATAATTATTGTCACTTTATGTCGTTTTTAGGCATTAAAAAGCATCAATTAATCAGCAACGTAAAACCCTTATGAGCTGTTGGGATTGTATATATATCCATGCCTTGATGTAAAAGCAATGAATTCATTAATTCACCAACTATGTTTTTATAATCATGCTTGTTTATTTCTCGCAGTCAAGCCTGCTGTTATTGTGGTGGGCTAAAAAAAAAAAGAGCAGAAAATGAATGTGTATTCTGATGAATTCCTAATGTCGTAATCATGAGTCAACTCCTTTATCACTGCATAAAGTTCCTTCAGACAAATTGGTGACCCGGCCTTTGGTGACAGAGAGGCCCCCAGAACCTCTCTGTTTCCACGATGGAGGAAAGCTGGCTTAAAGGAAGCTAAAATGGCTTGTTCCACACAATGTAGGAACCCGAGACCGCATTAAGGCCCGGTGTAAAATAATTATGGCTTATTTTCAACTTTGAATTATGCAAAGTTACTCTAATAAGTCCAAAATTTCTAATGAGGAATATAACATCCGCCTTGCACAACCCCCAACAAACACAAAAAAGCGCCTTTACTCCCTGGAAGAACTTGTGCTTATTTCATCACGATTACAACATATGAATTTCACCAGAATACACATTCACAGCTATTACTGCTCAATTTTTAATCTTTTTTACTTAGAACTGCAGGCCTCCCTGTAAACACTGATAACTGATAAGATTGAAGGAAAGTAATACCAACATTCACGAAAAAGTATTAATTCATGCACGTTGCTTAAGGTTCATGAGATTTTGATGCTTAGCTCTGTGATATACCATCACGGTCAGTTGCCATCTAAGTCTAATGATTTAATCCCCCCTTGGTGAATCTTGACCTCCTGTTTTATTAGCGCTGCTGTTTCACAGCAAGAGAATCCCAAGTTTTAAACCACAATATGCAGTTTTGTTTTCCATAAGCTCTGATTTCTCTCACTATTAAAAAACATGCTATGTTAATACTGCCATTCTTGGCCTAGGATGCTCTTAATCCCAAGAGTTTCACTTCCTGTTTAATAAAGAATAATAATAGTAAAAGTATTAACGCCTCCTCGGCCCTTTCCTGTTTTGAAATTGGATAATTTCTTACAGTGACCCCGAAATAGAGCTTGATGACTTCCCTATGACTTTCATAAATGAGTCAGAATAGTTTCATGACCTCGATGTATTATTCTTTCTTGGCCTATTAATGCTTTTTCTCCAGCTCAGAAAAGTCATTCAAGGGGAAAAATGGGGTCACTGCCTGCTTGCACTGTTAAAAAACTTTTCATGATATAAATGTGAGTGGTAATTTGAAGTGAACTGTTTCTCAAATTTGCCCAATTTCCCAGAAGAAACAAAACATCACCAATAATTTTTAGGTAATTTAAAATGAGGACAGATGCCTGCCTGTCTTCATTTAAAGTTAAGAGACAATACTACTTAGTGTCCACTGTTGTGGATATTAAGTGCCAGGGCTGTGAGATTCCCTGATGAAAATGAGTCCTACTAGCTATGTAGGTGCAGGAGATTTAATTCCATTAAAAGCAGACTGTATTTACAGCTTTCCCTTGGGTGAAGCTAAAACAGGAGACAGAGAGCGGCTAAGTAGAGCAGCCATGCTGTCCTTACCCGCTCATCCTCATGAAACCTGTGCACACTCATAGGCTCCATCAGAGGCGGGTAGGGGCTCTGAGGATGCTCAGGGGGCTCCCAAGATGTTTCCCCAGACATTGGGTTGTAGAAGTACGGGCGACCACTGGTCTCATCCACTAACTGCTCCCAGTCTGAGGTCCACGCCGGTGGGGAGGCGGTGGACAGAGAAAGGACAGGAGATTGAGGAGGTGAGGGGGAATAAGGCTCCTCTGCAGGGAGTGGTTCGGGGTCTGTGGAGGGGTCTACAAAAGGGCTGTCCCAGGTTGTGCGCCCCGTGTTGGGGTGGTAGTAATACTCCTGTCCACTTTCGTCGTCAACGTGCACCTCCCATCCCTCTGGGTTAAGGTAGGAAGGAGAGTAGGACGAAGGAGCCGACGGAGGAGACTCTGAGATGCTTTTCCGGAGCTCTGCTACATTGACGTACACTGCTGACCGGAGATTTTCATCCTGCACCTGTGGAAAAACAAAGAAGGGACTCATTCATATGTGCTTCCACATTACAAAACACAAGTTTAAAGCAAACAAAGTAGATTCTTCTGTGGAGTTCATTTTTGAAGGTGTCAAACTCAGATCTTGTCACTTTAGTGTTCCTGTAAACACACAAAAAAGTAGTGCAAGTATTGTCAGCAGTGTCAAGTACTTGTCTTCAGTCCACTGCTCTTACTATTGCTCTTTATAAGTCAGCCTTCCGCATCTTACAGAGCACAGGAAGTAGCTTAGAGCTGAAAAAACCCCCACAGACACGCTCTTCCCTCAGTAATAATCAAAACCTATATTTGTCCACAAAACCACCTCCACATGGGTTTAAGCACCGTCTGTATTTAGCACTTTCTGCCATAGTTGATCATGTGCTGATCAGTGGTGGGTTTTGTAACGTTTTTGTTAAATACTGTATTAAAAATAAAAAATAAAAAAATAAAAAAAACAACCACACAAATAACACCAAACCACAGGCCAACCATAGATGTTTGAAAACTAGGGTATGCGTTACTATTGCGCATCAGCTTTGGTCCTCTTGTTCGACTGCAAATCAGTTAACTACCTATTTCATTTCATTTTCTCTCTCAATGGGTTGTTAGGTCCTCAGTGTCACATTGCTTTCATGAGCAGAGTTCCACATGAGTCCACTTGCTGCATGGCAGGAACACAACATGCAAAACAACCCTGATCATCACAACTAATTTGTTTAAAGAACACCAGTGAGTGCGATGAAAGGCCGCCACTGTCCTCAACCTTTCTTTAGTTACAAGTAGGTACCTGAAACAACTCCTGCCCAAAAAACCTAAAAAACCTTTGCTTTAAGTTACTGTGCTCTCACCTGTGCTCCACTATTCCTCTTTGTAAGACTTCTGAACATGGTGGCACAGATAAAAAGACAGGCTCCTTTCTGCTGCAGACTTTCCCATAAACTACCTCTTGTCACATAGGTAGTCTCATTTTCTATATTTATCAAGACTTGAGACCTGCGCATGTCAGTGCTGTATCTGGTCATAACTGCAATAAACAGAGTCCACAAAAGGAAAAAAAGTGCTAACAGGAAGCAGCAGAAAGTAACTCAGTACATGTTACAATCACAATAATAGCGCAATACCTGCAGAAAATCTGATGAAAAAAATAGCAGAAATGCTCTCCGTCAAATTCATCTAAAGGTTTGTTTGTTGGGCATTATCTTTTTTTGGCATATTAAATACAACATACAACTACTTGGAGGTGGGGAGACAGTCTATTCGTAACTTTACAATATAACTAAATGTAGTGTATGTATGCAATTGACATTATATCAATACGCTAATATTTAATAATCGTCATGGACATCGTCTGGTTATCCGAGCTGCCCTCATTTCGACTATGATCAGTTTTAAGGTACTATTCCTTAACTGCTTTACACCTGAAAGGCAAATATGACAGTTTTTACTGCACGATAAACATGCACATACACTGGGCGATAGTATTTAGTCCATTTTTATCTTCATAAAAAACGGTCAAAGGAAAAAATGCAACACGGTGATCAGGACACTGACAAAGTTCCAAGAATAATCAAACCTGCATGTTTCATGCAAACCTTATTTATAATTTGAGCATTGGAATGTGCACGGATTCTTGCTTCAAGCCTGCCCATATGGAAAAGAAATAGTAAAAACTTATATGATTTACTCATGAAAGTGGTCACTTTCTCATTACTTTCATATATTGTTTCAGTAATTATCCAAAACATACAAGTTTCATTATATAATTTTTCAAGGGATCTTATGTGTTTTCACTCTTGTATGCTTTTCATACAAGTTTCACACAAGACAGATACAAACTTTATAAGATTTATATATATCTTTTCCATATGGGTGACTTGTACAGTTTTTCCTTCCTCACAAACGAGGAAGTCACTACACATATATGTACAGTCAGTCGGCATCAATTACATTGTTATGTTCTTTTCCAGACTTTATTTATTAGGTACAATGACAGCCACCAACGTAATCTGTTTCTGCATGAGTTCTTTTGCTTGGGAATGCAGGATTATTAGTTGTCAATGAGTATTTGAAATAGAGATGCGGCTGTTTTAGTACAAGTAAAGGCCATTTTTTGTAGCACCTTTGGCTTTAGTAGTCATTGTTAGAGTCCCGAAGCAGAACTTCTGGGGAAAAAGCACCTTGGAAGCCAAATCATTGCAGTACATGCCACATAACAGCAACATCCAGTGAAGTAGTGTTGCTTTCTCTCCCACCCAGTCAATGACATGATCCTATTTGACTCTTTACATGTAGTAAAGGCCAAAATAATAATAAAAAATCCTTAAATAATCTTAAAAGAGAAAACAAATGAAATGTAAGGAAAGAGAGCAGTGGATTGACATGCAGTGACAGTCGCGCAAGCTAGGAACCGATCAGAGACTCGCTGTGGTTGGTCTATGTGCTTTAACCACTTGGCTTTTGGGTCACCCACACAGTACCCCAACTTAGAGCAGGCAGATAAATGTAGGTGATAAAAATAAAAGAGCAACGAGAGCATTTCTCTATTGCACTGTGTGTGTTTTTATCTATACAGTGTTAGCACTTGGCTTATTATTGATCTTGATATAACTATGAGGCAAGCGATGAGGACAACCCGACAGCTGACCCCAAAACACATTGATCCTGAACAACACAACTGTACAGACAGACACAGAGGAAATGAAAGCGCTGCATCATTGATCTCTGAAATAGCTATGCTGGAAGGTCCCTATCCTTTGGAGAAAACACTAAAACTTAACTGCACGTGATCGAAGCAAAACTGTGCATACGCATATACAGTAATACAATAACAACATCTGAGCATAGTTATATCAGTCACTCGTGTAGGTGGAATTATGGCGTACTTACTACCAGTGTTAATACAGTTCACTAAAAAGGAAACACTAAAGCTAGGTGGGTGGGTGAAAACATTTTAGTAAAATGGCAGTAAAATAAAAACTAAACTTTACATAAAACAGCCTGACTTGTATTGTTGTATTATCACCATCTTACAAAGTCTTACAACATTACAAATACTACAAATCTCATAGTAACAGAACCCAAAACCGTGAATGAGCTTAAATGAGCCAAGCCATTCCTTAAACTATGAGTAATGAAAATAAATAGTAAAAAAAACCAAACTTATTTTCAGCCCATGTGGACTCTATTTACAATGACGTCTGAGTTGTTAATGTTAATTTTTGTTCACAAAAACACCAATCAGGTAAAAAAAAATTAAACACAATAATGCTTTTAAGCCTTTAAGTGCGTTCTGTAGTTAACATTTGAATGCAGATCTTTGATTTGTAAGGAAGTTTCTCTGAACTGATGCTTTTGCTTTGGGAAAATGTTTGGATGAACCTGGCGACAATGTCAACTTTAGTTACGTGACTGTGTGTCCAAAAAATGTACTGAAAAATTAAAGGCTAATTTTAGCTCTATCAAGTTGTTGTACAAACAAAACTGACGATTCAAACGTCAACCCATAAAGACCGAGACTATCAGTCACATGTGAGATGAAAATTTACATCTTTGAGACTGATACCAACATCACTCTAACACAGGAACCGAACTAACAAACAAAGTTTGGGTCCAAACTAACATTAAAAACCAACATGGCACAGTTAGTACGCCATGTACGTCACCTTACTTGGTACAGGAAACAAAATAAGTGCAGGGGCGATGTGATCACGTTAGAGAAAACAGGAAGCACATCATTTATCAAGTTTATAAGGATACAAAAACAAACCAATGAATAAAACTGGGCTTTTCATTATAAGCTTCTTAAATAATGATCACCTACCTTAGAAGGCACCGGCAGGGCCATGCCCCGCTTGGACCGGTGACCTGGCCAAAACCTGGACTGCATCTCCACCATCTTTATGTTGTACTATCTAGAGGAGCCATCCATCCAAAAGACACCAAAAACTAGCGACTTAACCGTGCGACTACATTTGGTCCGCTTGTGCTGGGATAGAGGTGAGTGCACACCAAGAAGCACACGCTTACATCCTCCTCACACTGCAGCTGTGACAGTTGCACCCAGACTGAAAGGAGAACTGTGAGCTGTGTGACAACAGCAGCAGGAAGGGACTGTGTAAGGACTGGGTGAGACGTGCGTGCACGTCAGACTGTGTGTGTGTTTGTGCACGCCTATGCATGAATTCCTGTGCACAGGATAGGGGGGTAGAGGGTAACTGTCTGCCAGCAGCCCAAAGCAGAAACACACAGTGAAAACAAGACAGAGGGAACTGTAAGATAGAGGGAGCAGCAGAAACTCTGCAGGTCACTGCAACCTACTTCCTGACTGAGTACCCATAAGATAAAAAAGGAAATTACAGCAATGGAAACAAACTTTTTTGAAGGAAACATGTTATATTCACAACAGAGGAAAAGTAAGATGTTTTGAAACGGTAGAGCTTTTAAAATCTCTTGGTTCTCTTATGTAGAACCAGCAGCTTCCATATAGTGTGTAAAGTGTACACTAATGCCTACACCTAAGTGCCACTAGTGCCTACACTTTATTAATGGCTGAGAACTGCTAGTAGGTCACAGCTAATAATGTGTGTGTGTGTGTGTGTGTGTGTGGGGGGGGGGGGGGAGCAAACATTTCCCAGAAAAGGAAATGGAAAAGCTGCTTTTTCACAGGTTTGTCTGATGAGTGTTGCTAAATCTACAGACTACATGTGGGTGGATGCTTGAAACAGGAAGTCTAGTTTCTGTTCAATTGAATTGTTCAGTCAATACTTCCTCCTGCATGGGACAACATAGCCAGCTGGGCTTCAGAGAGTGTGGGTATGTTTTATGGAAGATTTGGAATTTGGCTTTATCATGAATAAGGTTTGAGTGTAACTTCTCTTTTTATATTGTTGAAATTTAAATTCTTGCAGGTTACAGGGTATACGGCAGAAGACAGTGCTGCAAAGAACATCCAAAAAGCATTTTCATTAATGCAGGAGTGTCAGG